TTGATTAGCTCTACATGACGTGAAATTATGATTGCAAATACAAAACAAAACGTCAACATTCAGGAGTGCTGCCTTGGACTGTTTTTGTGTCTCCCACCAATGTCAAAATCAAACCTACTCTCTTGCTACATACATGCATGCTACATTCCTAGTTGGAAAATTGTTACAAAACAAGTGTCACCAGGAAAGTTTCAGCAGTTGTTATGTATATACAGCATGCCAGCAGGGTTAGCCTGTAGGGCCACCAGATACTCAGATTTTATAGGTCTTGTACGAAGTGTTGCCTGTCGTTTACAGATCATGCTGATTCGCTGTACAAAAAAGCACTACAGCGCCTTCACCTGCTGAGGAAACTGAGGGCTTTTAATGTCAGCAGAGGCATTTTAACCCGGTTTTCATCCTGGCACAGCTCCCTCTCCACTAAACACAAAACAAAAGTCTCCCCTGTTGTTAATCAGGCCAGCAAAATCTTTGGTTCACCACAAACACATCTCCCACTATCTATCTATCTATCTATCTATCTATCTATCTATCTATCTATCTATCTATCTATCTATCTATCTATCTATCTATCTCGTGTTTTTAAGAGTAGGGAAACTGCTACAAATGATTGCATATAGTTGTCACGATAACAGCTCACCTCCTACATTCTCACAAACATCATCAGATGGTGAGATGATGAGGGACTTGCTGCTGCTCTGCTCTCTGTGGTCAGTTGTGAAACTGAGGGCCTCATGGTTTTACAATGTTGAGCTCTGCTTGGATCATCATTTTGGGGTAGTGATAGTTAAGGCACTGGGCTACTGGTCAGAATGTCTATGGTTAAAGCCCCAGCACCACAAAGCTGCCGTTGTTGGGCCCTTAAACAAGACCCTAACTCTGTCTACTCCAGGGGTTTAGTGTGGCCGACCTATGCGTGTGGTCTCAGGCAGCACAGTCTTAGCGTGATGAACTCTATCTGAGTGGACGTTGTGATAGGTGTAAGAGTTGAGTGGCTGAGGCTGGCAGTGGTGCTGTGCACCACGTGTAATAAGGAGTGTGTCTTTACTGACTGTAGAGGGCTGGGGAGCAGAGCTTGGAGGTCTGGACCAGTTGATGGATTCCCAGTGTGAGGATGAGGTGGAGGTCTTGTGGGCTGGAGACCTGGAGGCTGGAACCTGAAACACAGGAGGTAACAGTGCGATTCCACATGAGCAGGCAGAATTATCGGAGGGGGTCTGAATACTTTCTGAAACAAACCGGAGTTTGTATGTTTCTGGGGGATGAGATCTAGGTGTGTCCGATGATTGTCAGCATGCAGAAAGTAGGTTGTCACAGTCGCATACACGCAGTCACACACCAAGACAAAGAGGAAGAGAGGACAGAAGAAATCCAGAGAACAGGGAAAAACAGAGGAAACCAAGGAGCAAGGTACTGTCAGGACCACAACAACAGTAGTGTATTTTCTGCCCCCAATAGCTGTGACCTCAATACCTTATGTAGTGTGCAACAAAGTCAGCATGGAACAAACTGTGTTGTTCACACAGCGTCATTTTTCATACCACACAACTCTGAATGTGTCTTGTCCCAAACGTTTTTGTGCTACAGAATTAGCGAACAGGTGAGCTTTTATCAAACTGTTCTAGGTCAAATTATTAACATGAGGAACAACAGCAAATCCAAAACAAATCCTATTCAGACATAGAAAGAGTTGAAAAATGAAAGCTGACCAATGTTATGTCAGGGCTGAAGCATTCTATCCTGTCTGTCTTTTACCTTTCTGTAGTCTGGTTTGGTTTCCCGTGAAAACCCGGAGCAGCTCATCATTGCCTTAGAACCTGAGGCAGCTTCAATCTACTGTCGCAAGCTCCGCCTCCACCAGATGCTGGACCTTGGCACCCAGACCACCCAGAATGGCTTCAGTCCCACTGACAATGTGGGGAGTGGAATGAGCCAAGGTACGTCCCATCAACAGTGACATCAGATGGCGCTGATCGCTCTAATTCCATGATGACACTTTCATACAGTTCACCTCTGATTTCACCATTCATCAATCAGTGCTCCACTTAACTGCATTATTTTCCTGATTTGTCTGTGTGACTTTAGGGTTTGTTGTCACTGTTTTTAACTCATGATGGATGTTGCTTTTATCCATAGTGTCTCCAGGCCAAGGTAAAAATGTTCACTTTTAAATTCAAACACATAATGCCTGAGGGTACAATGGCACACTGACTTTTTTTTTCTCCCCCCCTTTAAATCTTCACATTTCAACTTGCTTTTGCTTCTTTTCTGAGATTCTGTTGTGCAGAAAACAACTTTACTTGGTCTCTAATTAGATATTCAATCACGGATTTTTATTGTATAAACAAACCTTACGGCTGCCACCTTGCAGTTGTGGCAGAACCAGACAACCCAAGTATGTGCAGTAGTGACTGGAGGTGGAGACAGGGCATCAGGGTTCCACCTTCTGTCCTGCCAAAATGGGTAATAGTTTAACTGGGTATGGCTAATTACTTAGTTATTAATAAACTATAATAAAATACATTTAATTAATGGAATCTTTTTTATTCTTATTCATAACGCTATTGTAAATAATCACTCTTTTGGTTATTATTCTAGTAAATTTAAAGTGGAACAACTTTGGCAATGCAAAAACTTACAGATACATTTTAAAACTAAACTGACACATGTGAAGCAGCAACAGCAAATCCTCCCCATATCTTTCTTTGTTGTCCTTCTCTATGGTTTGGTACAAAGTTTTTGTTTATCACCACCACAAAAAAAAGTAGGATTGCAAGGTTTACTTTAGTCTAAATATTCTCTGTTTTTGCACTTGCATGCAAACAAAATACATTCTGGTTCAACAGGTTAGTCTTTGTTTTCCAAAGCAGACAGTCATGTAAAAAGAAAATCTGCCTTGCCATCAGTTCTTTGTTGTTTCCTTGGATATGAATGCGTTTGCTCATGTTATAAGCCCTTGACGATGTTTCCTTGGAAAAGTGCTTATGTACAGGTGCGCATACAAGTTAAATAGATGTATTAAGTTGTTTACACCTTCTGACTTTATTGATGCATGAGTTTGGGTTCATTGAGTTCACATGGAGAAGCATGTCTGAACAGTTAACATTTTGATTTGTTCTTCACTGTAAATGTAAAAGCAATATATCTGGCTGCAATATATCTTTCCTGTATCAGCTTTAAAACCAACAACACTGCTACTTATTTAATGAAACTAAATTTGTCAGTGTTAGATTTTGAAAGAATGTTGCCCTTTTTCTGATAAATAAAGGCTACAGATGGTGGATCAGAAAAGAAGAAACACAAGATAATTCTAAATTTAGTACAGCGTGCTGTTCAGCATTGACCACATTGTTTTGTAAGGAACACTTTTTAGTGTCTAATTAAGAATACAAATAAACAGTTTACTGCATTTTTATGATTCTACAAACGGTCATAGGGCTTGTGGTTTTGCTGAAGGATTCAGAGAACATTTCTTCATATTGGAGAAGAATACATTGATCAACCTCTGGTATCAAACACACCTTCCTCTTTCATGACTCTCATATAGTGAAGTAAAAGGCTGCAAGGTCCCTTTTTATCCAAGTACTTCCAGATACTGAAGCCCCTAGAATGAAATCAGGAGCTAAAATCCCCTTTTTTTTTATCACATTCACAGAGCTGTAACATTTAGGAAAGATAATAAATAATAAAGCAAAATGACAGCATTGTTAAAATAGTCAGAAAGCTAACAGTGTAACTTGCAAAAAATGTAATCTTTCAAGAAACAAAATAGGAACAAGGACTGACAAGGATTTACCCAGGTTGTAGTTGTGAATCTTTAAAGCAGCAACAAGCTCTACCAGTGATGCTCATTAACCCAGAGCAGTAGTTCCTCAAGGGCTATCTGAAAGACAGAAAACTATGGCTGAAGAACTAACTTTAAACTCTAATAGAGAGCACTTTTTTCCTTCTCCGGCATCAAGTATTTAAGAGAATAGTCATTGATTTTTTGCAACAGGAACATTCCTCATTGAACAGGAGCTGCTATAATTCTGTAAGGTCTTTACATTCCTATGTGACATGCTTTGAGATGACATAGGTTATATATTGGTGTGACATTAATCAAACTGAATTGAATTGAAGAACACTGCTCCCTCACCTGCATTTCCATCAGAGGAACTATGACCTTCCATATAGTTCCAAGGAGATGGTTTTACATCCAAAAAAAAAGCCCCTTCTCTGGTGGTGCCTTCTGAGGCTTCGGAGATATCACTAATTGGTTAAGTATGCATTTTTTGCAGATTGGTGCATACCCTCCATTTTTAAAGTCGTCTGTGACTATATAATATTTAGGATGGTGCAGCCAAGGGGAAAAAGAGGAAACGTAGTTGTTGTGGTTTACAGTTGGACTGGTTTTGCTTGAAGACATGAGATGAAAGTCTTTTAAAAACACAAACCATGTCATTAGTGTACCCTGCAAACTTCATAACGAGCTCTTTTAGCTGACTGGAAGATGTAAAGCCTAAGACTTGGAGCACAGCTGAGAGTAACCATGTTACACTTTAATTATTTCAATAAGGCAGTAAATGGTAAGCCATTTTGTGAGGCACATTTATTTGTCATGCGCTGTATTTGAGGAGCTGAATAAATGAAGTATTTTAATCTCAAACTGTGAGAGAACATTAATGTTCCATTAAAGCCCATGTTTGACTGCTGTTGACTTCGGTGCAGTCGTGAAAGAGAAGTGAACTAAGTGCTAAAGAGCATTATCATTCCCTGCAAGTAATATCCCAGAATGTATATGTTTTAATGTTCATGACTTCATTTGATTGGACACTCATCATTCCTTGTGAGAGCAATAAGTCTAGTTTCAAAGTAAGTGGTGATACTGTGGGTTAATCCAGTCTTGCTCTCGTCCAAACCTTGGTGTTCGCTTTGAATCAGTGTCACTGCACTCCCAATAATGCCGTTGTTTTCCTGCAGTCTGAGCTGTTGGAGTTTCACTGTGTAATAAACTGGTACAGTGATCAGAGTGTTAAGGGTCAGTATTGAATAATCTATCAGGATATTATTAAGTGTTCTCAGCTCAAGTCTTCTCAGAGTTCCTGGGAACTCAAAAGGAACAGTCAGAACCTGGCATTTTTCTTTTGAGGTTTGCCACTGAAGCATCTGTTGCCTAAACAGATTCACTGCAACTACCTGTTCTTAAAGTATTGCTAAACTTCAGATTGTGCAGGACATATCTGCTCAATTGATATTTTTTTAATAATTGTCTTGAGAGGTAATTGTTGCTGGTGTTAGGATGTTACTGGAATGATGTAATTTTAACGGAAGACCTTTCTCATGCCCTCTGCACAGCTAATGAGAGAAAGACAGTTGTTCTTCCTGTTCTGTATTGTTTCCTCTGTGCAGGAGGAAATGTCCCTCTGACATTAACTTCTGCCAGGTCTTCCTGCTATTAGGCAGTCAGCGTTAGGCCACATGGTTTAAGTGCCATCACAGTTAAGCAGCATAGGCCAGTAGACTTTAGTTTTAAAAACTGGGTAATTTCTTTTATATTTTTAGAAAATGTTTTTTATCAAAACCTGCTTTACTGTTTAATTATTTAAATGAATTACTTTTACTTATAAATGATCTCTGCTGTGGGTAAAGGATTGATTAGGATATAACAGAAAGTCACACTATGAACCTTTGTTCATATCAGACAAGTGACTGTTACACAGAATCACAGTTTATCAGCTCCAGTTAAACATTTAGTTTTATTCACAGCTGTCCTCAGGTTGAGTCCTAAACGTTCATTCTCACTGTTTAAGAAATCAGAAATAAAATAGGCTGTTAGTTATTTGGACACTTAAAACCATTGCTATTAGTTTAGATTTGAGCTGTTATTGTATTATTATGCATTATACATCACTTGTGTATCGTCTAGTCTCGCATGAATGACAGATATCAAGTATCTAAATGACTACAATGCTGTTACTTTAATAGGTTGTTGAAGCCGACAGTGTTCCATATCTCATATTCAAAAGGGGCTTTAGTAACGCAAGAGTCTGCCACAGTCCGCATGGACTGTCTTGGAGTCTCTTAAACCTTTTACCCTCATTGCATGATCACACTATGAGCAACATGATTGCGGAGTCGCATTTTGTGACAGATTGCCTAGATCTATTGGTGTACAATCTTCAGTTGTTTCAAAAAGTATTCAGACCCCCTCACTTTTAGCATGAGGTTGTGAAGTGAAGTTATGTTAAGGATAAGGATAAAATAGACATTTCCCATTAATCTACATCCAATCATGAAGAGGAAGCTTGTTTACTTTTTTTTTGGAATAATCTTACAAATCACTGACTGAAATCTTTCATTCACTAAAGTGTTAAGACCCATCATTCAGTACTTTGTAGAAGCCCCTATGGCAGCACTTACCCTTCTCAGGTCTCTACAGGCTTTGTACACCTTGATTTGGACAGTTTGTTCCATTGGGTCACTGTCATGATGAAGGATAAACCATCGTGACAGTTTCAGGACCCTGCATTCTGAATCAAGTTTCTTCAAGGACCTCTCTGTATTTAGTTGCATTCATGCTTCCAGTCATGACTGAGAAGAACCCTGATAGGATAATGCTGCCACCTCCATGCTTCAGCTTAGGAATGGTATGAGCAACTAATGAGCAGTGGATGGTGTTCAACAGACGTAGTGATTTGAGTTCTGTCCAAATAGTTCATCAGATCAAAAAAACTTTTCTTCATCTGCTCAGTAGATTGATGGGGCAAAATGTCAGATTATCCATTTAAAATTAATTCTACAATACTCTGCAGAAAGCAAAGAAGTCTGAATGCTTTTTGAAGTGACTTTACATACATGTTGAAGGAATCTATTACAGACTGTGTAAGTGTATAAGGATGAGACTTGTTCACAGTGTGGATACATGTGCACCTCAGACTTCTGCTTGCCTTACACACCACTGTATATGAGCCTCACAGCTTCACAGTGCAGAGCTTCAAGCCTTCACCACACTCACAAGAACATTCTCTCTCTGTTAACAACCAGCCAAGGAGCATGTTCGGCGCAACCGACAGAGCCGTACCTTTTTGGTGGAAAATGTCATAGGGGAGCTTTGGTCGGAGCTGGAAGAAGGTAGAGTCTCTCTGTTCTTTCACTCTGCTTTGACATTCTTTTTCCTCTTCCTGTAGGATAACTGCTCTTGCTGTTTCTTATGCTGCCAATCTGTCTTATTCGATGCTAGATTTCAGTGAGCTTGGTAGAAATAGAGCATGCTGATTTTTGGGGAAATGGAACCATCTAGACATCTGTAGAAACTGTTCTATCTAGAGAAATGCACCAACATTAGGAATATTACTATCATTTTGCTTTTTTTTTTTTTTTTTTTTAAAGTGTACTTTTAATATTTTATTTCAATGTATCAAGTAGTCACATTTGTCCAGATATTTTACTGTTACTTGGAAGAGAAAACAAGGATGAATGATAGAATGATTACACAAAATGTCTGTAGTACACTTCACAGTTCACAGACTTATGGCCTGTTTCAAAATTGTTTTACTTGGCTCATCGTAGCTGTGCACGGTTTGTTTATGCAATGAAGAATGATAAGCCGTATGTCTGGAGAACTCACTCTCCATTTGACCTTCAGATAAGCTGTCAGTTTGTTTACAACATGCTTATTGCAACTGCTTATTTGTTGCCTTGCAGGGATCAGCAATACACTGGGTGTGTACAGTGCTATCATGGCTGATAGAAGTTATAGTCAGACTGCAGATAAAACTAAATGATCATTTTCATCAGTGTCTTAATGTGAAATAAATTATTAGACTGGTTTGTAACCTATTTGTAATCCTAGTAAAAGGATTTCAAGATTGCACCAGGAAACATCAGCAGACTAGATAAAACATCAGCAGATCAGCGCTAGAACACTGAACAGCTGAAACACTTTCCCATATCTGGGAGCATCAGTTTATTAAATGCTGTGGTCCTTATGCCGCTGCTGACAGGCTTTAGTTACTGGGTCAACTTTGTTACCTTTGTTTCCATGCCACAAGTTGCTGCCTCCTCAGTTAAGATATTAACTAATACTATAAAACTTACATTTATATAATTTTTGACCGCTAAACAATAACTTGAGGTTACTTATCTTGTAACCGGGTTTCTGTGAACATATACGTGAGGTGCCTCTGTATGGGGGGAACTATCGCTCAGCTTTATTCTCAAAAGCATTTATATCATTACTCTAGCCAGTACTGGCTGGCAGTTGTGACACTTGTTTCAGGAGATCCACGCTCCCTTCCTATATAATGGACTGACATGGCGTCACCCAGCATTCAAGCACCCAGCATTAAAGCTAAGCACCTCTTTCTTACTTTCAGCAAGGAGGGTGATCTGGTGAGACACCACCTGTAAGCTAGTGATGGTAAAGTGACATCTAATGTATAAAGCCTTGCTAAGGGCAGAGGTGAAGCCCAGCTTGATGCTGCACATGTTTCTTAAATAAGTCCCAGGAGGTTGCCATACTTCTGGTCAAATGGGCACGTAGCCCCGCAAGGGGTTGCAGTTTTTTGCTGGTGTAGGCCATCTCAATCGCCTCTACAATCCAATGGGATAGACGTTGTTTGCTGATGGGCTTGCCGATGTGGGATTTAGCCCATGAAACAAAAAGCTGATCAACCCTCTGTTTTTGTTCTTTCAATATAAGGCTCTCACCAGACAGAAAGCATGCAGGTGTTTGCTTGAGGGGAGGAACAGGGAAGGAGAAAAAAATGTCCCCAGTTCAAAAGGAACACACTCCAGTGATGGACTTTTTGGCATGTTTGGTTGGTTAAAATATGACCTTAAGATTACCCTGTGTGAACTAAGCGCATTGTACATGAACTGACAGTGCTCGAATGTCATGTACACATATGCTGATGCAAGAGCCAGAAATAACGGTGTCTTAAGGGATAGTGTCTTCATGTCTGCCTGATCCAGGGATCCAAGAGGTGGATGGGATACAGCGTCTAGTACCAAAGAGAAGTCTCAAGAAGGGACCAGTGATTTAGACACTGGACAGGACCATCATGTTCCTTTTATAGAATGACAGATTAGAGGTCTGGTCCACCATATGTTCCACATGGCTGAAATGTCTGCTAAATAAACTGTAATAGAGGACAAGGCCTTGCCTTTGTCCAGCAGCTCCTGAAAGAACAGAACTTCCAGGTTGCTGCTCGTGCAGCTGACCGGACAATTAGAGCAAATTGCATTTTTTATATATTTGTATATTTAGTATTTTAATAGGTGTTTTCTGCTAAAATCTGTGAGACTACATGTCATCGCTCAGCCAGATGCTACTCATCTGTGTTCAGCTTTTTTCCCTTTTTTCCTGATTTTATAATTTCAACTTTCGTGAGTCTTCAAGTTGACTTTCTATTGTTTTCTTTTTTTGTTTTTTTTTTTTTTTCGGGGCTGACTGAGAACTTACATTGACTGCCATGTCCATGTCCAGAAAACATCAGTGGTCAGGGTCAGCTGGAAGGCGTGTTTCAGTTCCCATTCCAAACATCTATGGTCAGAGACATCATTCCCCAGCTATGGAAACACACACACAGTGGTCACCATTCTGTAGAAGACCTCTGTTAAGGCTATGAATGACCTCAGGTCTGTGGCTCTCACCTCTCTTGTGATGAACACTGCTGAGCGAGGCACAGCACACACACCTCAAGAGTGTCTAATCCTGAAATTTTAACCCTGAGCCTGAAATTTTAGGTGGCGATTTGCTGACTGCCATTTCGAACTTAGGCAGGTGTAGCCAGTTTGTTCAGGCGAGATAGCTAGCGCTCTGCCTTGACGCAAGAGTCACGCCTGCCAGCCTGTTTCCTGGTAATGATATAAAAGCTTTTCAGAAAAGCGCTGAGAGAGCATTCCCCCCATGGTGAGAATAATTTGAATAATATACATTAGAATCGGGACATTTTGAACTTAATGTGTCATTGTTGGCATCATGTGAGATCTACACTGTCAACTGCTGTTCACCATCTGTATCTCATCTACTTTTTCTTCTTTTATCACCTCACCACTGGTCCCATGACACTGCAGTCAAAGGAGTTGTTGGTCAACTGTCTGTCAGTGTTGTCTGTCACCTGGTTCAACAAGCTTTGACAGAGAGTCACGTCCAATCTCCCTTAAAAATCTTCTACGAACAGGAGAGTGATGTTAGGAGCAGTGGCTACATGTCAGAGCAATTAGTCTCGTGGGGAAGGATGCTGCTTGATGATATGAGTTTTACATGCCCTGTCCCTGAGCTTTCTGCACACTATGTTGCATTTTTGTGTTTTCTCTGTGCAGGCGACCGCTATGTGGTGGTAGACTGTGGTGGAGGAACGGTGGACCTGACTGTCCATCAGATCCGTCTTCCAGAAGGACATCTGAAGGAGCTCTACAAGGCCTCAGGTAAAAGAATGTGTAACATGATGCAACTGACTTTTCAACTTTTTTTAAAAATGTGATTAACAGTCACCACCTCTTATTGCAGGTGGTCCCTATGGTTCTATCGGGATTGACTATGAATTTGAGAAGCTGCTATGTAGGATCTTTGGCCAAGATTTTGTTGACCAATTTAAGATAAAGAGGCCAGCCGCCTGGGTGGACCTGATGATTGCATTTGAGTCTCGGAAGAGAGCAGCAGCTCCTGACAGAACCAATCCCCTCAACATTAATTTGCCCTTCTCCTTCATCGACTACTACAAGAAGTTCAGAGGCCACAGTGTGGAGCACGCCCTGCGCAAAAGCAAGTAAGTGAAAACAGACAAGAAGACATGAAACCCTAAAATAACAGGTTGGAGTCAGTGTTTGTATGACCCTGAACTGGAACCAGCTGCACTGTTTTGATTTCAGCATTCAGATGTACTGTTAGA